TATACACCAAGCCGGTATCCGGAAGGGATTATATTTTCTTTGGACTGAACAGTGTTTTATTGAAAACCATACAAACTTGCTGATTATTTAAAATGGGAGCAAAAACTACTTTTGACTTGAGGTTTGTATACACGGATTTGAAAATCCAAAGGTTGACACCACGTAAAAAATTCCACGGTTTTCACCAGCCTAACTTGAGATGGCGACCGAAGTGCAGGAAATCTTGGATCGAACGACCAAGAAGGGCCGCGTGTACTACCTCGTGCGATGGAAGGGCTTCACTTCGGATCAAGATACATGGTGCAAGGCAATCTGTCGAAGGCGTGCTCATGTTGGTGTGTAGGGAGAGCCGCGTGGACCTTCGCCAGGACGGGCATTTCCATCACATTCAAGTGTTTGAACTAAGTACGCGTCGAATTCCACAACAACAAGCAAAGCGTTCACGTCATGATGGGGTTTTGTGGTGGTAGAGCGAAAACAAGCAGAGGACAAGGAATTCGACGAGCGCAACGGCGATGCGATTGTACCTGTGGACGCATTCGCTGAAAAGGCTTCACGCAAGGGCCGCCCGAGCAAGAGTCCGTCGCGTGGTCGTAGCCGCAGTGTCAAGCGTGATCCATCCACGCCGCGCCGCGCTCGTTCGACGTCTCGAAAGACCAAAAGCGACTCGTCCAGCGACGACAAAGCCAAAGCTTCGGCACCGACTGTGGTCGATCTGTCCTCCACTGCGTCGTCGACCGTCGAATCCTCGACCGTAGTCACGGAAAGCATCTTTAACTCGTCCAAGTCCTTCGCCGAAACCACGACGACCACCACTGTAGACGGTACCCAGGCCGACGACGAAGGCGACGACTCGGACTCGGTGTTCAACTCGTCCTCCAGCGCCCCATCCATCCCAGCGGACGTGGACAACAGCGTCGTATCCGATGCTGTTGCCGACTTGGTCAAACAAGGCTGGCTTGTCCAAGCTGTCGGTATCTTGGTCGTGTGTCTCGCCATGCTCGGCCATATTTTGGTGCCCCACATCGAAGCCAACATCCCCATGTCTCAAGAAGTCAAGACTGTGGTTTTAATTCTGACCAAGACCAACTCGTTGCCGCCCCTTGTGACGCTCGCTCTCGTTCTGCGCGGGCAAAACAACAGGTACCAGCATCTCATCTCCATTCAACGATAGCATCATCGGTGGGGATGTCGCAGGGGGCTCTCCAAGTGGATTGCGATCTGCCTCGTGTGGCGCACTGCCGCGGAAGTGATTTTGCAATTGCCCGACCCCAAGGTAACCAAGATCATCCGTTGTCGATGGACTTTATCAAAACCGGGCCGCTCGAAACTCGTTCGTGTACTAGAGCTTGTACTTGACCATGGCACTTCTGTGCGTGGGTGTGGCCGACATGGCTGGGCTCGTCGCGCTTGGGTCGGCAGTCGGGGGGAGCCACCCCGACTACGACGTGTTCACACAAACCCTGTGCAGTTTCGGGTTTGCGCTGCTCGTGATGTCGGACAGGTGGGAGTCATTCGTCGCTCGTTCGATCGCTGGTGTCCCTCATGGTCCGTCAGCCTCTTATGTCCGTTGCACCAAGTGCTTGTGCCCCTCCAAGCAATGCGAGTCCTCATCATGTCCCTGGCGACCGTACGTCTCGTGGCTTGTTTGTGGTCGTGACAATTGTCGCAGGTCTTTTTGTCGATGAGCTCGATCTTGGCCGAAGTGTAAATATGCTACAAATTGGGTCGTCAAAGCGAGAGTTGTTGGAAATAGCGGTCGAAGGGCAGAGGTAGTACAAGGGTTACATGGTGTTTTCCTAGAACGACTGGCTGTGGACGGCTGCCGTAAACGCTTTGGGCGCATCGCGATGAGACAACACATTTCATTCAACTGGGGTTTACGGGGTCGCTAATTCAGCGACCCTCACAGTGTCTGCTGTCGAGTCCCTTTGGTGCGCTTGGTTTGCTACTTTGGATTGCATGGTGCAGTAGACGAGCATAACGACAAGTGTGGCGACGGCCAAGATCAAGATGCCAAAACGAAGCGCTTCGTTGGCGGCCAGCTCACGCAAGTGCGGCATGTGTGTTGGGTTGGAAAGTGGTCGATGAATATGTGGGGGAAGGCCAGAACCGGCGGCTCCGACGCCTCGCCGCCGCGTGCGACGAGTTGGTTGACCCACCATTTTCCAACATATGCATTTTAAGAGTGTCCACACGGCAAGAGTGCCTCTGAAACACAATAGTACGGACACCAAGAAATTTGGCTCCATGATGGACCGGAAACGATGGCTTTTAACTGGATTTTACGCGTATTGTATTGCACATAGCAAGATTTTATTGCGGTGTTGAATCCTCTAAGCTCGTGACTCTTTGAGGGTATTGTAAATGGCTTGGGTTTATGCGGTGGCTGGATTTGTATGCCGTGGGGTTCTCGAATATGACCTGCATGACAGCTCTGGAAGATTTCCTTCTGAGAGTTTTGGTTGGAAATCCTCGCTTGCAACTGGGCTAGCTGTTGCCCCACGGTCATTCACACTCGTTCATGGAAACGTGAGCCTTGGCCCTTATTTGTGTGGGCAGCTCGGGGTATTCGTTCGTGTGTATTTCAATGTCAACTCCCTTTCGGGACATGACGGTATTATACCCCTTGAAAATGAATGATACATATTCTAGCAGTATATTGATTTTCAGGATCGGTCGCTTGAATTCGAAATTTCATATCGCAGCGCAGCATGATGTGGCCGGTTAAAAGTGGGAGGGGCGTGGCTGGCTTCCTCGACGACGGACGCCATCCTGACGGCGCTTCTCATGCACGTCACACAGCTTGATTCCTTGAGAGAAAGGTGGCGCGCATGACGCCGACGTCGGTCGATACGTGGCTCCAAGTTGTTGAAGGGAGAGTGACAAGCTGAACTCGATGGGTCAAGCGATCCAACGAATGTACGATTCCACCAACGAGGAGTCAAGGGCGACCTGGACATGACTCTCCGTAACGCATTTCAGGAAGTTTGTCGATCTCTCTCGGCTGGGAACGACCCCGCGCGCATGCCTGTCCTCCAGGCTTTGGAATAGCAGAGGACATGCGATCCACGAAAGCCCTCGTGATCCTGCACACGCAAGCCATGTAAATCACCTCTCGTCGCCAGTTCGTCCCGACCGAGTACGACGAGAACTGTTCGTTGCGCTGCACCAGCGGCTGGTTGTTTCCGTCCACAAGACTGCCCACTCCCTCTGGCGCACTCCACCCACGGCCACCAGCTCATTGACGTTGTTATTTCCCCTGCTGCGTTTAGCCTTGCAAGACATGTTGGCCACCGACGAGGTCACCCACTTGAGTATACAATGCGTCGATGGTCCCCATGAACGCCTTCTTCGCTTCATTCCGCTTGAGCTTGAACGTTGGTGTGAGCAGGTCGTTGTCGACCGTAAACTGTTGGGGATGAAGTGCAATCGCTTTGACAATTTCGAAGCTGTGGAGGCCCGACGCTTTGCACACGCGAACGATGTCGTGGAGGACGGCAGCGACCACCTAACGCAATGCCATGACGCTCATGGACGATCGATACACACGGTCGGACCTGGTCGTTCTGGCAGAGCTCGGCCACGCCGGAGCATGTGATCCCGAGCGACATGGCCAAGTTGGCCACCGTTTCTGCCTCGGGCACGACAATCGCCACCAACACCGCATGCAAACTGTCGCCGTACACAAACGCTTGGGCGACGAATTCGCTGACGACGACAACGTTCTCGATCTTTTCCGGCGCGACGTACTCGCCTTGGCTTAGTTTAAAAATGTTTTTCTTCCGGTCGACAATCTTGAGGCGGCCGTCCACGAGCCACACGCCAATGTCGCCGGAATGGAGCCACCCGTCCGCGTCGATGGCTTCGGCCGTCTTGTCCGGCGCCTTGAAGTACCCCGAGAAGACTGTCGGGCCGCGAAAGCACACTTCGCCTCGGCCACGGACTGCAAACTGCGCCGGGCCTTCTCCATGGACCGTGTCCGTGGGCTCGTACCCCATGTCTGGTACGGCGACCAGCTTGATTTCGGTGGACGCCGTCGGAGGGCCGACGTTGCCCGAGTCAAAGTCGCGGGGGTCGTTGACGTTTGACACGCCCGAGCACTCGGACTGGCCGTAGCCTTCGACGATCGGAAAGTTGACGGCGATGCGGAAAAAGTTCATCACGTCCGGCGAGACGGGCGCCGATCCGACCGCAATAAACTTGCATCGGTCTAGGCCCAGCTTTTCTTGGATCTGCACAAGTCGATGAGGAGGACGTCAGCGCGCCAGTAGCCCCCACCTTGGAGAAAATGAGCATGTCGAAGAACGGATGACCGAGGTAGCCGCGTTTCAAGTTGCGCAGCTTCGTGTTTAAAGCCCAGTTGAAAAGCCACGGCTTGATGCCGCCTGCAGACTTGGCCGAGATCACCACCTTGTCGTAGATCTTGTTGAGGAGCCGCGGCACCGTCGGAAACAACGTCGGGCGCAGCGCACACAAATCGTCCGCCAGTTTGAGTGTGTTGCCTTGGTAAAACCCGATGCGAGCCCCGAACGTGATGATAGCCGTGATGACCACGTGCTCAAAGATGTGGGCCAGCGGAAGGTAGCTCAAATGCACGCTGCGTTCGTTCATGGCATCCAAGACATCGCCATGGCCGACACGGTCGATCACACCCTGGGTGCACGACATGATGTTCTCGCTCGACAACAAAACTCCCTTCGGGTCTCCTGTCGTGCCACTCGTGTACCTAGCGCCATCGTGATTTTCTGGTCGGCGACATCGCCGGCCTTACATCAAAAAGCAAGGATCCGTGAGCTTGGCGTACGTCGGCGCGGTAGGAAACCGAGCGCCAATGGCTTCCACCTCCACTACCGTCCACACCTTGAGCCCCGCAGCCTTGGCAGCCGTCACATCGACGTTGTCCGTCGAGTTGACGTCGGCCAGTACAATGTGCTTCAAGCTCGGGCATGTCGCCTTGGCGTCGATGACACTCTTGATCTCGAGCGTCGTGCACACGACCGTTTGCACGTCCGTCTGGTTGAGGATGAACTGCGTCGACGACGCGCCAAGCGTGTCATACAGCGACGAAATGAATCCACCGCAGTACAGCGCGGCATACTGGGCCAAGAGCCACTCGGGGCGGTTCTTCATGTAGATGCACAGGATGCGATGGCCGTCTGCGGTAGGCTCCATGAGCTTTTCATGGCGAAGGCCAGCTGCAAAGTTTTGAATGCGCTCGTACGCCTACAGAGTCGATACACACGATGCATGGATGAGCCCACATGCAGGGTGGTGTGGTCGGCACGTCGCACCTGCTCGTACGTAACCCACACGTACTCCCCGAACGCACCATTGACAAATGGGCGATGGCCCAAGAAGGCACCGGTGGGAAACATTCGCACGGCGCGTTGGAGCAATTCGAGCATGGAGGTGGAAGGGAGCGCCGGGGTCTTTCCACCCCTGTGGATGGGACCGTGGCCAGGCTCGGCCGTGGACTGGTCCCCTTCCGAGTAAACTAACGGAGGCGCTGCCTTTCTCGTCGGTCGGAAGTACAGCACAAAGAGCGTGGCGAGCGTCACGGCCACGATCGACGTGGTTGTCGCAACGACCGTCGAGAGCGCAGACATGGGCGGGAGAATATGACGACTGGCCAACTCCAAAGATCGTGTCGGCAATTATCCGGATGGCGTTGTCGTGGTGCAATCAACAACGACAACATGGCGGAGGGGGAGCGGCACCGTTGGACGACGGCGCGGCGCCAAGCACAGCTTGGTGGTGCCCGAAGTCGAAACATGGGAGAAGGAGGCTGCTCCACAGTCGTTCCCTGGCGGTCGCATGACGTTGCACGTCCATTATGAAATACCATGACCACTCCGTGTCAACACGAGCGCGCCGACATCGCAGTCGTGCGTGGCAGCGCTGTAAAGCACACTCGGAACCCTCTCCTGCTGGATCATGCTGTAAGAGGACGGCGCGTTCGCAACAACGACTCTACCAAGCAGCCATTTTTCGCAGATTTAATCGCCTTGTTTGACGTTCTTGCCTGCGACAAGGTCGCCAGCCTTTTCGTACATGGCGTCGATGTGGTGGGAAAAGCGCTTCTTTGCGTCGTTCCGCTTGAGCTTGAACGTTGGCGTGAGGAGGTCGTTCTCGACCGTGAAGTGCTCCGGGTGCAGGTAAATCGCCCGCACCGTCTCAAATCCGCTCAGCGCACCCTTCTTGGACACTGCCGCTATGTCCTGGTGGACAGCCTCGACCACCTACCACCATGGTGTGCGTCATTCCGCTCTCGTCTGCTCGATAGTACCTTCGGGTTCGAACACAACTCGGCCAGGGTCCCCGTGACGTGCAACGACTCGGCCAACTGCTTGAGCTGCTGAGCCTCGGGCACGATGATCGCCACCAACACCGCATGCAAACTGTCGCCGTACACAAACGGCTGCGCCACGTACGGGCTCGTGACCAAAATGTTTTCAATCTTTTCCGGCGCGACGTACTCGCCTTGGCTTAGTTTAAAAATGTTTTTCTTCCGGTCGACAATCTTGAGGCG